TCTATTTTGGAAAGGCGCCAATAACAGTGTACTTCTGATCATGCGGCGGTAACTAGATTGTACTCAGGGAAAAAAACTTATCCCCAAGGTTAATAAGATGGGCACTCAAGCTACAAGAATATAATCTGGTAATCAAGCATACCCCCGGAAAGGAAAATATCGTAGCAGATGCCCTATCCAGAATTAAAAATAGATGAAGAAGGTAATACTGTAAAGGTGGCAATGCTCACAGCATGTACAATAAATTCCCGAGAAACTGTAATAACCGAACTGGGTAAGGATCCTGAGTTTGGAAGCATTTATGAGTATTTAAAGGATCCTGAAAATTTTAGCCACCAAGATATTGTGGCGATAAGAAATAGGGCGGCCCATTACGAACTAATAGATGGTCTATTATTTATACAAAAAAAAAAACTACGAATTCCAACAACGAATTTCGACCTGTTATCCCAGCTAGTCTTAGATTAAATATCCTGCAGGAGCTCCATGACAGCCCTTTAGCTTCTCATGCTGGTATTCGAAAAACTATCCAACGCGTACGCGAGGCAGTCTATTTTTCCTGAACTGCAAAAGTTAACAAGGGCGTATGTCCAGTCCTGCCCAACATGTCAAGCAGTTAATTATATTTAATTTCCGCCCGGCCGGGTTTCTAAATAGTATTAAATCCGAATTTCCAAATGAAATAATTGGCATCGATTTATTGGGCCCTTTCCCAAAAAGTCAGTTAAATAAAAGTCGCTATCTCCTTGTTATGGTTGATCATTTTAGTAAATGGACCGAAATTGTTCCCTTAAAACGAGCCTCCGCGAAATTAGTTACTGATTCTATTTTAAATAAAAATATATTTTAAAATACGGGGCGCCCCTAAAAGTTATATCGGATAATGGTCCTCAATTTGTAAGTAATATATTTGAAGACATGTGCCAAAAACTGGGCATACGTCATTTAAAAATGGTCCCGTATCGGCCGCAATCAAATATAGCGGAACGGGTCAATAGAAATATAGTGAAAATTATCCGTAGTTATGTTAAAAATTTTCATAAAAGCTGGGATAACTATGTCAATGAATTTGCTTTCGCCCTTAGGACCGCAAAACATGATACAACGGGCAAAACTCCTGCTGAGTTATTTTTAGGCAGAAAGATTATAACGCCGTTAGATAAATTATTTTATGTGCAACAAAGAGCCCCAGAATTTAAAATGGGTGATATAGAAAAACTAATTAAGGAAGCAAAAAGAATAATACTGAAGTAGCACAGAGAAAACAAAAATTTATATTATGACTTGAAACGACGGGGAGTAACTTATAAAGTAGGGGATGAAGTTTTAAAAAAATTAAGCATTCACTTTCTTCAGCACCAGAAGATAAAACTGCCAAATTTTTTCCACGATTTGAAGGACCATATGTTAGAAAAAATAACTCACGCTGTAGTAGTGTTAAAAGCCAGAAATGGTGAAACCTGCTCCGCAAACATTGATCAAATAAACCCTACTATGATCGTAATAAAATGCAAATATTTTCAGATCTTTTGCAGGATCCGGCACGGCAGACACCGCAGGCACAAGCTCCAGAGGTGGAAAACGACAAGTACAAGGGCAAGCCATTAAGAGGCAGGAGCAAGTGAAAAGAAAAGTTTCCCCGCGGAAAAATTGAAGGTAACAAGAAAAAGAAGCCGTTCCACCGTCCAGAAAACAGAGAGTTCACGAACACCCCCAGAATGAAGAAGGGAGAAGGACGACGTATGCAAAGAGAGCCAGGAGAAATGACGGCAACTATAACCCGGCTCTAAAACGGAAGATCTACTCATCCGACAGGACTCTCCGCAGCAAATGTCGCCGAACTGCGGAAGGGCCATCAGCGGCGGAGGAAAAGTTACAAGAAAAAATTTGAACGGCCAGCAACGAGGTTCCAAGCAGGAACACGAAAGAAGTTTCCCGGTTCCGCCAAGACCAGCTGCCATCAAACGGCCAAGACCACAGGCAGAGCGAAAAAGAAGGTATTCAAGGGTGACCGAACTGGAGAAAAAGAAAAGCTTCTAGAGGAAGACACTGAAGGGCGAGCCCGTACAAGAAGGAGGATAAATCAAACAACTATCTGCACTACCTTTAAGGACTGGGCCCAGAAAAGAATGTCCGAATATCACAAAGATAAGTAAAATTTTATGTTACTTTGCAAACTTAAGTTAATCTTTCATTCTTACTGCAAGTGGCAGATTTCAAGAAGTTTTACCTCATGCGAGGTCTACCTTTATCGCCAAAAGGGCGAGAAATGAGTTGTTACCGATTTTGGTATTATGTTTTTTCAATTACTCGCGCGTAAAACTAAAGTTGATGTATAATAGCGTTGTGTAAAGACTTAAATATTGTAAAAGTTATTGTATAAAAATTTTATTTAAAACATTCTGGCAAGAAAGAAGTTTTAGTCTGAAAGACTTTTTGAAATGTATTATTTCAATGTAGAAAGAATTGGCACTTGCTTTGAAAAGAATAGAAGTTAACAATGTACTACTAATGTATGTTTTCAAATGTATAAAATTAACGGCATGTTAATATGTTCTTATATACAATGTGAACTGTTATTTTAAATGTTAAGAAATACCGTGATATTGGTAAAAGTGAAAGTAATGTTAAAATTTTTTTTATTCGTGTGACTGTAAAAAGACTAAATCATGGTGAATATGTGTTAAAGTTTTGAATGATGTAGTTAGGCTCTCTGACGCTACACTTCAGAGTTAGCCACTTTCAGAATAGTACCTCAGGGTTTAGAGTTGAAATTAGGGTGTGTTACGGGGGTCTTGGTATGTTGAATTTTAACACGTTAGTGTTTTGATTGTAGGAGGAAGTGTTGAACACATGTAGACATAAACACATTCGTGTTTGGTGTTCTTTTACAACACATGTCAGAGAGCACGGGGAGAGAGATAATTAAAATAGTCATGAATGAAATAAGAATGTTAAGAGAAATATAATTATACATGTTACTTGCCATTTCATTGTGTAACATTTCATTAAACTAGTTTTCCTTCCAGATCTCTGGAAGGAACCAGATTTGAATAAAAGCTCCTGTTTAGATGCAGTACAGATGAAAAAATTGTGGTATCCCTGGGAGCTGCTATTGTAAAACAAATTTCTTTCTTTTAAATTTCTAGTTTCTAGCGAAAAATGTTTGTAAAAGATTGGCCTCGCGTTAGATTCTAGAGCTAAAAGTTTTCAACAAGGTCGTTTTAGACCTCAGTTTCAAACTAATTAACTCTGGCGGGAAGTATGTAAGGATCTTAAGTTTTTACTAACGTTTATTTTATTTTAAATCTTTACTATCACTTCTTATTTTCTACTTCCGGCCAGAATTATAAGCGTTAAAGTATTTATGCAAAGTTTGTCTGGCGAACGCCAAGTATTAAGTTGTGGCTTTTTGCCAAGCGAGAGAGAGGAAGCAGTGAGTCGAAGCAGGCCGCTTACCTTAGAAGTTTTACTCAGTTGCTGGTTGCCGTTCCAGGCCAGAGGTTTTAATCCTCTTGATAATTTTAAACGTATTGTAGTGTTCACAGTTCTCTGTACTACATACGGCTTCCTGTTAATATAAGGCCAATCTTCCACGTTTATTATTTTAAAGTTAAATTAGAGTTTAGTTTTATTTTTATATTTTTATGTTAGACCCCAAGTAGCGGGTCTGTGTATTCCGAAGTACGGAAGTTATTGTAAATAGTGAAAAATAAAGGGTTTTGTATACCCTTCTTGTGTATCCTGTTTACTTCCCACAGTTTTGAACATAGCTTTAGTAAGCTCTCTGTTCCGAGTCAGGTCCTTGCATGTTCCCGAAGAAGGTAAGACGGAACATTGAACCTGATAGCTTTTTCTTTTCTCGATTTCTCGTTGTACAGTTAGTAGGAAATGATTACTATTTGACGAATTTAAGACCTCAGTTTTCGAAACGAATTAAGGTTTACCCAATAGAATATTTAAATACACGGTAGATTTCATAACGTAGTGAAAAAGTGAGATAGAAGTTTAAATAAGAACACATTAAGGAACTAAATGTTAAAGAAAACGTGCGTAATTTTCCAGTAATATAATTTGAATGATTAATTAAAGATTCAAAGGTTAATTATTAAACGGAATCATCTTCTACTTCGATAGTAAAAAAAACAAAAATGAAATTAGAAACAATAGTAAATACATGAGAAGGAGAGAAAAAATTTCGAGAGTATTTAAGATAAATGATAAAAAGTGTAATTCCTAAACGTTTTTGAGAAATTTGAGAAAACTAAAATTCGTAGTTGTTTTTATTTCACTGCTCGGCGATGAGATTGTGTTATACATATTATATTCCAACATTTATCTAGAACATCGCGAATTAATGTGTTTGTTCCCTATGTAGGCACATGTTTATTTTTCGTCATTTTCACTCTTGCAGTTGCATAATATATTGTTTACTATGTTACATAAATTATTGTTATTGCTTTTTCTTATTACTATTGCTTATTTTTGGCTGGACGTTTTCTCATAGCATATGAATTCCTGAAAGGTTGGTGTGAAAAGGATAAATATTTAGTAGTAGATATTTAATGGAAAATTCAAATTTTTAGCATTTCTCGTTTTGGATAATGCCCTGTTAGTTCTTTTTCATGAGTGAAGATTTCGATGTGTTTTCAGGTTCATTGTTGGTGAAACGATTAGTTTCTGTACAGTAAACTGTCCAACTAACATTTAAGTATCTAATGAATACGCTTTCTTTTACGTTTTTTCTTTAATTACATGATTTTTTATTCATATTTTAACTTTTAGTGTGCTACAGTTCTTTAGTTTCATCTATCATTCTAAAGTTAGCCTCTCCTCCCAAAATCCTCTACGCAGATTTCCACTGAGATAATTGATAGGCTAAGTAAAGATAATTGCGTAAACATTTATTTTCTTCCACTTCTCATGATAATTGACAATTATATATTCAAGAGATAATTCAACTATATTTTAAAATACTACAGATGTCTGAATTTGCTTACCTTGCATTTTCTTTTTTAAAACCAAATACTACTCCAACAATTTTTTCTAGAAAATCCATTCTTGTCAGTTTGTCTTCGATAGCTGAAAATTATAACAAAAATGAATCGCTTGAAATTAAAGACACGTGTATATTGCGTATTTTATTCCTAATGTTAATAATACATATACAAAATAATTTCATAAATTAAAAACTACATTCTAAAACATGTGCCAAGAGCATTAGAGAATTATTCCGAAAGGAAAATGCGACAAACTTTGCTAGGCAGTGTTTAAATGACAAATCTGCAGCAAATTAATATAATACTAATGAATCCCGTTATAACAATCTTTGGGTTATAACGAGCGAAGGTTTGTGTCCCTTCCAATTTAATACGCGTCAAATATTATGTTATACTCCTAAAGTGAACCCTTAAGAATATGAAAATCGAATATAACGAACTGTCCTGATATCTTACATTGAAACAACTTTGTATCTTTTATATTTCTTCCAGAACTTCTGCAACGTTTTATGAAAGAAGTACTAACTATTTAAATTATCCACGTTTAAGATGTTAGGATCGGCATTTCACACATAAAGGAAAACATCTCTACCTTATTTTTCTTCTATCCTCACGCCCAATTTCTTTATGTTTTATAAAGGCTTTGCAAAACAGATATGATACTCAGCTCTAGGAGAACGATGGTAAAATAAACATGTCTTAGGGCGCTAAAATTAATGCATCCATTGAATGAAACAAACCTAAGTGTGTTCTTTGATTCCATAAAAGTTCTTTGACTGAGCTGCCAAACAGAACGCACTATAAGACTAAAGTTATGTTGTAAATTCTCAAATTTTTGGCTGTTTAGTCTAAGAAGAAAGGAGGAAGTAGTGAATCTTAGGAGTTTATGATTTAAGAGTTGATTCTGCTTTTGGGGAATGAAAAACGTTTTTACTGATTTGTTTTGTTTGCGTATAAATATTCTTTAAACTCTATCCTTCGAATAAGGGTTTTGCAAGATATAAGATATTCTTTGTAAAGATTATAATTTTTTTTTTTTTTTTTTTTTTTTTGTTTTGTTTTGTTTGTTTTGTAACCATACAAATCTTGACGGAAATTATTATGTTCTTTTTTGATGTTACAGAGAGACGTAAATGAAGAAATTATTTTTCATTTTCGTATTTTCAAGAAGAGCAAAACTTCCCCGTATTCTTCGACCATACTCTCTGCATCTTGGTTTCTATATTAAAAATTCATCTGCATGGTACGCTGGACACATTAAGCTTCTACATTGAACATAAGGTGAAAATTAGTTTAAAAATATGAAATGAACTTGAGTTAATCTACATATGCCAGAAATACAGAAATATCCAGATTCACATCGGTATTATATGAAACATTGAAGTCTTTCTAATCTCTGCTTGAGAATAGAAATTTCGATTCTTGGAAACATTTGAGAAAGATCGAACATTGGGGTGTAGAAGATGAACTGGTAAAGTCGTTTTTCGTTCAAAGAAGCCGGGCAAATACTTCAGACAAAGACCGATCAATTTGCCAGATATTTTAAAGTCACTGGAAAAGAGCAAACAACAAATTTAATAACTGCGTGTGATAATAATTGCAATTAAATTATGTTTATTATTCATTTTTTCGGTAGACGTATTAATGTTAATCTTTTTTAATTATTATTATTCATTCAATTTTTAGACACAGGATTTAACGAACTGAACTTTCAGTCACTTAGTTTTCGCTATTGTGCAGTTCATCTGTATGTAGCATTAATAATAATATTTGTAATTACAAAATAATGTCAATGTGTATGCAAATTACAGATGCTATATTTTAAATTGATAATTAGATGTTATTAAATAAAAGAAAGCATTAACAACTAAAAGTAAACATGTTTGAATGTATGCATGTTGTTCGTAAACCCCTTCACTGGTTACAGTGGTAAGAGGCGTGCTGTTATAATTTAAAAGTCAAATTAAATATCTTTTTAGTTCACGTGAATGATAAACCCTTATTATATAACGTACTATAGCAAATCGCATCAAGTAGAAAGATTATATTACGTTACTGACATTCAAATGTCTTTTGAAATAGGCGTCAAGACTAAAAATATTTATAAATATTTTCAAATGCAAAATTATCAGAACAGATTTATAGCAAATCGTTTCTTTTTAAAGAGGTATTTGGGGAAATAACTTCTAATTGGTATATCTCTTCGAACAGAAATGAAAAATTTCATTTTGTCCTTAACTCTACTTCCAGAAACTTTTTGTTAGTTTCCAATCACATTATGCCTAATATTCATTGAATCAGTAACTAACTAAATATATAACTTCATCATTTCAAACTGAAACGCTATCAATATCTATGGTAATTAAAATCTTTATATTTAAACACTTACAAAAAGAGAAAAAATATTTATACTCTAATGTCCGTGAAGAAGTTTTAGATAATTATGACACATATTTAAATTATTTGAACACATATTATTAAATTTTACTCACCTGCTATATCTCTTGGATCGAGAAGTAATGTAGAGTTGTCGTCGTCATCGCAGGTTGCGATGGCAAAAGCACTGGCCACTAAAAGTACGAGTATCAAAAAGGCTTTCATCTGGAAATAGTGATAAATAATTAGATTGTTCAATTTGCAAACAACGAATATTTCCACTTTGATTAAAAAGTTTCTAACATATGCTCGAAATTTGTAGTAAATAGTTTTCAATCAATCCATAGATATTTTGCACCATATAAGGAAGACATTAAGTGTAAATTCGTTCATTATTATTGTTTTAAACTGTAGAAATATTTCCTTAAAAAGACTATGTCATTAAACTTACTCCAGATGGTTATGTAGATTTTTATGACGACCCTGGGGGTATACGTAGGTTGGAAACAGGAAGGATGTCAGATGTCTGATTCTGTCGCTGAACTTGTTATGGCCTGAAGAACGTCAGACCGAGTCTGAGCCTAGGTTTGTTTGATCAAGCTGTAGAATGGAGCCGTGAGAAATAGAAGCTGATTATTATTGATGTTTAAATCTTGGCTAGTATAGCTGAATACAGAGTAATCCTGTACCAAACTGTAAGCTACGGTTGAAAGCTTAGCACGCTAACATTAGAACAGTGGTTCCTCGTAGAGTAAAACTGAAATGTAAATTTTAGCAGGTGGACTGTTAACTGTATTTTTAGGTTACTTCCTAAGTGGAGATTTATTGGAGTTTTAAATTAAATGTTATGGTGTTGTTTTCTGTAAAAATCTAGACATACTACTTCTGTCACGATAACTCGTGAAAGTAAATCTGTATTACCTAGTGATTAGAACCCACAGAACCACATATGTAACGGTTACAAAAACCAGTACTCTCAAATCTAACGTACTGTGTCATAGAGTGACTCTGTCTGGACTGATTTACTTTCTTATTGCCACATCTAAGACTTTCGTGAAAGTTTTTAATGTTGTGAAGAGTAAGAAAAAAATGTATGAAATACAAGATCGGGGTTTTGAATGTACACACAAAAATAGTTCTGAAAAACGGCAAATATTCTTGAATTTCAGTAATAATAGAAAATCATTAATAACTCCTGAATATCTAAATGCCTGTACTCGAGAAGCAAAAGCATTCTCTTCGTCGACTTATGCATTCAAAGCATCAAAAGAATATTTCATTGCTGTTCCGTACCCACAAACAAATTATGGCACAAGGGATACAAACAGCTGTTCAAATCCTGTTTTCAAAGATCAAGAAATATTAATAAGTTCAGGTATCAGGATACAATAATGATCATTTTGGGGAATGCATTTTAATATAGACACCCTCTTCTGTTTTATGCCATAGATGTCTGGTCTACTTTCTTTCTTGAATTTTTGCATCCCCATCCTGTAGAATGTTTGTGCATCATGCTGTTGCACTCAAAGAGTTAGTTGTGTGAGGCTTCAAGTCTGGAATTTTCTGACTATTAAAATAAGACCAATTTTCATTACAATATGAATTTCTATTCTAATGTTAAACTGGATATTACTAAATAGTTCCTTTAATTTCATATAGTTACTTTTAACAATAACAGCAATAGTAATTTTCAGTCTTAGATGCAACATAGGGATGCATAGATATGGAAGATTCCTGAGTGATAGAATACTCTACTTTGTAACTACTATTCTTACAAGAGGGCACTACGTTCATGCGCTTAGCATTCTGTACTTTTATTAGATAATGGAACTTTTATATCTAATATTTTAGGTTCACTTAGGACGTCTACTTTCAGTTACAAAAGTGTTTCAAATGGAATAAATATTTCTGTTCATGTTTTTGCAAATTGCTTTAATTTGAATGTTTTTACAAGTTAGAAAATTAAATGAATACGAATGCGGATACCTTTATGCTACGGACACTTGTGAAAGCTTTCTATCTTTTAAAATAATAACCAACTTTCATAAACGTGTTGATACCTTTAAAATAGAGAGTCTTTTAGCATACTCGTAGCTCAGATAACACATTTATCATGAAAAATCGTATTGTAATATATTTTTAAAATTTCAACACAAGTACAGTTTACAAATACATTAAAAGCAATTATCTATAGTATTATTTTATTCTTTGGCATACTTCTCGTTTGAGTGAATTTTGTTTAGTAGATTGCTGTCGTTGTTTTGAAAGGTCATAAAATTTTTCAATTTTTCACAAGAATTTGTGAAATTATATTTCACATATAAAATAGCTTTCAAAGTCTCAACTCTTATTTGTGATTTTTCTGAGGTCCGCACTTTATTTACCGTAGAAAAAAAAGCGCTCAGTCACAGTATTAGTTCCTAGGGTATTCCATAGTTTTTAGTGCATTATTGTATGGAACATAGTTTGTTTCAAAATGATGAAATACTCGTATTTCTAACCATTTGTTTTCTATTGTGATTTTCGCTGATGTCCAAGATTTAACAATGATGTCTAATTAAAAAGATCATTTTCAGAAATATTACTATATGGGACATTTTGAGTAATATGATCGAATGATTTTTGCACATTCCAATTAAGGTCTTGTTTTAATACATTTCCTAGCTTGTCGTTCGTTCTTCCTACAAATCGGGACTTTTTTAAAAAGCCGCTTGGACGCGGGACAAACTGTTAAAATTCGGGACTGTACCGCCAAAAGTGGGACGTCTGATCACCCTAATCTAATGGGAACTTATTCCGAAATGAAGTTTTCAGCAATCAGTTCTTCCGTTTACTCAGATACATTTGCGTCTACTTCAATGTACGAATTATGTATATCACTCACAATTAAAACTTCTAAATTTAGATTATTTACAAGTCAGTAACTGCAATATTAAAACTAAACTAATGTCTGCAATAATAGGATTGTCTAAGGCTATTTTTTCTCTGTAGAATTCCTATCCATAGTAATGATTAATTACCCGATGATTTTCATTATTTTAGAAAAAGTAAAACATAACGCTTATTAAAAGTAGAGAAAATTTCATTTTGAAAGAGTTTGATGATCTTCTGTTCATTACTATTCTAGTCTCGAAAGAAGAGTAGTAAGACATTAAAAACTCTCTTATTTAATTGCTCTATAAATGTAAATTGCCATCTAAAATTAAAATTAAAAATATTTCTTGTCTGTTGAGTTTTTCAATTGATTAATTTTCAGTCTGGGAATGAACTAACCTGATTTTAAGTTTCAAGTATATTAGTTTGTTTATAGCACGTAGGATCAGTATTTTTATTAAAAAAATCGGTATGGTTATTTATATAAAGAAATTAATTTCAATCGAGAACGTCATAGATGTCATAGATGTCAGAATGTCATAGATGATTGGCTATAGTCCGCTCATAGTCCAATCAAGTAGATGAGCTATTTCATGTTGTAGCATATTCTCTTAATCTTAGTACGAAAATTATAGTGGTTTCATATTGTACTGCTAAGTACTGTGGTGAAATTCATGCACTTGCATTAAGTGCGCTTGTTGGCGATTTTCACTATGCCTGACAGACACTTAGAATGAATGGTCTTTGTGCAAAATCTAGCAAATTGCCCTTTATGGTGATGTTCACACCACGGAACTAAGCACAATGAGGTACAATGCGCTTTGCTACCGTGAGATATCAAACATTTCGCATCCATAAAGATACTTTTTAGGTAAACTCCTCTATCTTCATTATTGATCTAGATATCTTGCGCAGTTTAGAGCTTTGATGTGGAAAATCCATGAACGTTTGTCATTCATAATTCACCCAGATATTTAAGGTGCCTTTTACTGTTTGTATATTCTTGCCTTATAGACTGACGCAGAGGGTTTGGTCGGGCCTTTTACGAGGGTATATTAGCATGATTTTGGTTTTAGAGTGTGATATGACTAGTTTGTGCTCTTTGGCCAAGTTGGAATGCTTGTCTAATACTGACTGAGCTTTGGTTTGGTAAGCATCCCGGAAGTGTCCTCTGGTCACTCGTCAGCGTAAGCCAGAATCTCAGTATTGTCATTATGATCAAACAGGGAAAGTGATGAAATGGTGATCAAGTTCCAAATCAAAAGGCCGAGGCAGGAACGTTGGTGGCATCCTCTAGTTATGCTTTGAGTATAGACTACTTCGTCCTTTGTGGCTTGTGCTAGACAATTGTTTAAATTACTATAAATCAGGTCATTGAAAACCTTTGGAAAATCTATGTTTTGAATTCTGCCTCCACAACTAATTGGAGGGATCTCTATGTCCAAAGGCACTCTGCGGATATTACTTCTAATGAGAATATCAGCAAAGGTACTGAAGTAACAATCGTATATTCTATTCTGTGTATTCTGTGTAAAGAGGTTAGCTCCAAACATTTGTATGCAATAGCCAAATTATTTAGAAATGCAAGTAATCTCACGACATCGAAAATTTGAACAAAATTCCCCTTAGCATGTTAAGCACAATGTGTAAAATACTACATGTAACTACTATTATGTATAAAATGTCTATTAACTGTGATTTATAATTTATATTATAAGACGTAATACTTACCTTGGAAATGGTACTTGATGCTCAGATGATAAGGAATAATAATAAACGAGCAGTTACCGTTCTTTTTATATGCTAAATAATTTGATAGTTAACAGCTGTTTTTAAAACTTGACGTTTGGGATATCTGTTGCAACGATTTGTATAAATGTGACATTTTAAAATTTTAAATAAAAGATTAAGAACTTTATCCTAAAAAACTCAGAATGACGTGAACCATATGCCTTTTCTCAACATCTGTTTTAAGTGACAGTTTAATAAAAAGAAACAGACTGTTATTCGATATATAACTTTCAAAAAGCACTTACTGGAATGATAAAGAAATAAATATCTATCAAAAATAAAGAAATTATAATTACAAGAAATGTAAAATACGTTTGAACTTTAAATACACTTAAATGATTGATTAAAATTAAAAGTGTCATTAAATATTTAAAGTATCATTGGAATATTTCAAAACAGCAGGACGATTTCATATCCAAAATTAAACCGAGAAGTTTGCTATTGCGATGTAGTGCAGAGATTTATAGGATTCAAAAACAAAGCCCAAGTAAATATTTTTATATTAATTCTTTTTAATCCATCTGTTTTCCGTTGGCTTTAACCAGAAGATTAATGGTATAAGTTGTAAAAGCACGCACGCATATCATTTAGTTACCTTACAATGATAGAACATATTGAATGTTTACCAGAGAATTAACAGATCTCTATAGCCGTGATTAGTTTGACGTTATGGTGGTGATTCATCTGAACGATTTAGGATGTTCAATAAACATTAGTAAAAAAGAGAGAAAACGTTAGTCCTCAAATTCTTGATATATTATAAATAGTAGATTAAAACTGACTAGGCTATATCATATTTATTCATATGAAGAAGACCAATTTACTGATTGAAATAATAAAAATGATATGTTAAATAACTCTCCTCGCTTCAGTTACGAATTAAAGATTGTATGCTTCAGGCGGCAGAAAGATGTAAACCATAAACAAGTAACGCTACTCTTGCATAACACATCAAGAGAACTGGAAAAAATAACAGACAGATATTTCAAGCTACAAAATTAATAATGAAACATGAAATAACATATGAGCTATTAAATTGTTTCCAAAAAGTAGTTGAAGCATTCTAGAGAGTAAAATCTCTAACACATAGGTTTTTTAAATAACATTTCTTTTAAATAGCAATTATTTTGCGCGAAGCATATTTTTTAATTACATTTTAGGTTTGTTTAAGATGTGTTTCCCATAATCACTTTATTGAGATCTTAATACGAGTTTGTGCTTAAATTTCATGTTTTGTATTTGAATATATATTTTAGTGACACTTGGTCTCTAGAATAATATAAGTTTTATTAAATTTTTTTCAGCCTTAGGTAATTCGTTTAATCCATTAAAAATGCGCTTTTTTCAGAGTTAAAAGACGATGTGAGTATGGACTGAAACATTATATAGACCATTTCAATGTCTGAGCTCGACAGCAAAGCTGAAATCATGCTCGGTGATAAATTCTTTAAATTTATTAACCCGTATTAATCTATCTCAATTTTATTAGCTTAATTTCTGAATAAAATGGGAGCTTAGTGAACTTCAGATATAAGCTTTTGTTTCGTACGTGTGATTTGCCTTTTAGTTTCGGCAGACTACAGAATGTCTCTCCAGGTCTTTGTAAAAACTTATATTAATCAGTAATAAACTACGTTTTTAACCGGGAAAGATGCACATTAAACATTATAAAGAGTTTTGAATAATGATTCGAAAATAATAAATATCTTATTTAGTATTAGTTTAAATTTTTTTTCTGCTACAGTCTTATTTCTCTCAGTTAGTACTTGTGGAAGGCATAAATTAATAAAAGCAGTAGCGTTCTTTCTGTTTGCAAGATAAATATTCGAGCTAAATGACGTTAAAAAAGTTTAAACTTTTCAAATTATTATTTTTGTATATAAAATCACTACAACGAGGAATAATAATTTGCCAAATTTGGCAGATTATATGCACCTTATTTCCCTTTCTTCGGGCAAAGACAGTGGTACATTATTGAAGATGCTTTGATAGGGTGTCAGAGATTGCTTTATATGCTGGGTGGAATGATATTAGCAGACTCTATTTGTTGCTAAATTGAAAATATAAGGAGCAGCGGTGAATAAGTATTAAATATTAACCACATCTGAAAGATTTGGATTGTAAACGTTTTAAACAGATAACAGTATACAGATTTGACATTAAGAACTTAAAACGAAATTGCATGAAGAAGATGCAATGACCAGCAGAATCAACACCCTCTTTTTTTACCTAAATTATTAGTACTATCCCACAAATATTTACTGAAACATAATTATTTAATTTTACAAGAGAAATAATTCTAACTTACCAGTGATTGGTTGGATTACAGCCGGACTTTATTAGGCGATTCATAATGTTTGTTTGTTTGTTTGTTTGTGTAATTATGGCAAAGCCTCGAGGGCTATCTGCCTAAGGGGAGGGATGCCTTTCGTGGAGGACTTTCTAAGGGAAACTGGCTCGTATACACGTTACACATGGGGAAAACCACGAAAACGCCCATGCAGCCAGCCCGTTCGCGGGATTCGAACCTCGGACCGAACTACCAGTGTTCAGCGACTTTACCGCTCGGCCGATGGTGGGCCCGATTCATAATGACACAAACCCTTAAATCCTACAAAGAGATACGGAACTATTAAACTCCAGCAGAGAAGTGCTCTATGCGGAAAAGGAAATAAGCACCAATTAATATAGCCAGAGTTATATTGAGTTTAAATAATAAAATTACAATAGAATTACTAGAACGTAAACTGTTAGTACAAAATGCACTTATGGATAATGAGAAAAAAAATCACAGAAATAACAGAGGATGTAAAACAAAAGCTGAATAATTTGATGATTTCACATAACCTGTATTCACCAGTCTAGTTACCAATTTCTAAACACAGTTCTAACCTCTTTGTCAGTCAGCCAAAGATCTTTGAACAGGAAGTTGCTGGAAAGTGTTCTCGACTTCACGAATCTTTTTTGCATTATAGAGAGTGTCATTAAATAACTAATGCAATCGATGCGAAAACAGCATTTAAACTAAAAGAAGAGCAAAATAGTTATGATTCACAAACATCTCTGAATTTTTCCTCGAAGTGCATTTATACTAAATAGGTGATCATTTTCTTGCAGTTCTAATCGGTACTGGTACTTCTGTAAGCATCGAAATCAATAAAGATAACGTTCTTGCAACACTAAAAGACAAATCTTTATTTAGCTACACAGAACTGTACACTTGAGGTAAGAGGTGTTTTAAAAAATGCAAAGGCTCACTTGTGATATTTCATAGTAATATTGATTATTCTAGTTTTGAAAACATTTATGTATTAAACATTAATTTCAGGATTGGATATTTTTATTAAGGATGATATTTCTATTGATTGTTAAGATAAAGTTGTTCGGGACGCAAATTGTACTTCCATGAAGAAACCATGCAGTTCCTGAGTGAACGTGACAAAGGTGAGGTCTAACGAAGAGATTCTTTTGTAATATACATATCGCAAGTACGGAATTCCACCCAAATCAGTATTACTTATTCTTGAGTAAACTAGAGTCATTGTATCGTTTGCTACGAATGTTTTGATACAACTATCTAATCACGTTTAGTCAGCCTAGCCTTTGATTAGTATGATTTGAAGTAAAATTATAATATCTTGTGTATCTTGCAATCATCCAAAGTGTTTAGACTCTTGATAGACGTTAAGCCAATTATTGCTAAGAAAAATGGTATAAAAACAATTCATTTCAATTGAATGAATTGGAAAAAACGCGCGAGGTGTCACATAGTTTTTCCCCCGCCTAGGTGATGGCCGCCTGTGTGCCCACATAATTTTCGCCGCCCCGCCCCCCCCTCCTCTAGAGTACAAAATGAAGATCGTTGGAATGGAATACAATTTATGTAAATTTCTACGGTTTTCCAAAGAATAATTTTTCAGCAAATTTGTCTTAAAAATATTTGTTTTCAATTATAAAACTTCAAAACTCAATGTCTTAATATAAAATAGAGATAATTTTTAACGAAATCGTTTTAAAAATATAAAGAAAAATTAGTAAAATTGTGGGAACTAAATCAAACGGGTTTTTAAAAAAAAACTTACCTTATAATGGTGAAAAAAAAGAACCTGGGAGCTTTAAAACACTTCTCAAATTGTTTTTAGGATAAAAGTTAAAATTGCACTCTCCGAGATTTTGTTTCCGAAAAATTTTTTAACACACTATTAAGGTCTATGGTATCGCACAATTCGTGTTCAATAGAAAGAGTTGCCAAAGCCGATAATCTTTCCTGACTCATGGATGATCTAAGATAGTTTTTTTATCAACTTGAGCTTGGAGAATGAACGTTCTCCAGTTGCAACAGTGACCGGTAAGATCAAGAAAATTCTAATTAGTACGGTTAAATTGGGAAAAAATGACGATAAATTATTTTCTAGTATGTATTCAAGAATTCCAATTGTATTCATATTAGTTTTAAGATGGGGTTGCATAGCTTTAATTTCTTCGAATAATTCCGCCCCGTTAATGTCGCTATGATTTAGCTTCTTGTCTGTCAAGGCTAGTTCCGCTTCGGCACAGTGGTCTGTTCCGCTTCGACACAGTTCATTGTCTTTAAGGTCGCCATATTCGGGTATATTATATAAAATTTTAAAGATGTTAATATGTTGGTATAATAATTGAAATCTCTCATTTATAGCCCCAATTGTTGCATCCAAAATTTTAAAGTAAAAGTTGACTTTAAAAGAACTCTCTGGATCTAAAATGCTTTCATTCTCGTGTTCGTAATCAAAATTTCTTTTTCTTCTTCCAATGCGTTTTGCTGCTGGATGAAGAAATTCTGCTTCTAGTTCAACTTCGGCAGCAATTTGTTTTGCAGCATCCATAAATATTTTGAAATGTTCGTCACATCTTATTTCAACAAAGTAGTCTTTTAAATTTTCTAGGGCTTCGGCTGAAGATTTAATGTTTAATTTTGGACTTTGTAAAAGTTTACTCACTACGTTGACTTTATTAAGAATTGCATGCCAGATTATTGTTGAAAATATAAATTTAAAGGTACTGATTTTTTTACCCAGTGACTTTGCCAAAGTTCTCCTAGTTATATCCCTAGTTGCATCATCTTTTAATTCTTGCTCACGGTAGCATCATATATTTCACCTAATTGTGTTTTAAGTGGTGTGATTGCTTCTATACAGTACTTTCCCATTCTTGTATCATGATAATGGCTTTTCAATGTAAGTTTCGGAATATGCGCTAATAAAATACTCCATCTATAATTTGATGCTGAGAAGTAAACGTACAATTTACCTGAATTAAGTAAAAAAGAAAAGAAGAACTGTTTCGAAGCTTACTTTAGCAGCGTCTGTTCACAACAAGATTTAAACTGTGAGCTATACAAGGAATAAAAAATGTACGGGGACAAGCGTCCAAAATTTTTTTTCTGTAGTCCTCCTCGCATATTAGCCCCATTGTCATAACCTTGTCCACGTAAATTATTCATATCCAGTTTTAGCTCTTGAAGATTTTTTTACTATAAATTCATATAATCCTTAACCAGTTGTATCTGTAATTGGGCAGAATCCCAAGAAATGTTCATAAATCTTAACTGGTGGGACGCAAGGAACACATCGAATTATAACGAATTATAACAGTTATTTGTTCAGTATGTGAAATATCTGGGGTACAATCTAAAATTATAGAAAAATATTTTGCCTCTCGTATTCTGTCTAATATTTGTTCTTGTATAGTTGTTGCCAATAACTTAATCATTTCGTTTTGGTGTTCCCAACCTAGATAGTGAGGCGCATTTTTGTAATTTTTGGATTGTATTCTACGTAAATGTTCGGAAAGAACTGCGTCAAATTTGGAAATCATTTGAGTCAATTGAAGGAAATTTCCATTATCTGGCTGAAACAGTTTTTGTGGAACCCCTAAAGGCCAAGCACTGACGAGATAAATATCTGACAATAAGCATCAATCTTTCAATAACGGCACGCCAATGATTTTTTTCCAGTTCGTATAATCGCTGATTGGACGAGTCGATTGTCGTACCCTTTTTCGGTGCTACACTCAAATCATCATGCATTTGTTTAGTATATTTAATGTGGATTAATCTGCTCTCATGCCTTTTCAAGATTAAAGATAACTGTTGCCAATCGTTCACTCCTTCTTTACCATATATACGCTCCTTTTTCTCTGTGACATCGGTGCAAAATAGTTTACATGGAGCACAGAAAACACTATTTAAAGATAAAGAATATAATAACCAAGGACGGTGGATTTTTTCACCATTGCTTAAAGTACGGTAAAAATATGACTCTGAAATTTTTTTATTTTGCTCATCTCTGGGAAATGCTATGTTTTGAACTTGACTTGGGAAATTTTCAATTATATATTGTACCTGACTGTAGGTTAGGTTTATAGGCCATTTACCAGGATCGTTACAGAAATCGTCAGAAACTAGGCAAAGAGCGTCGTCTTTTTCTAAAGATTTAAAAGTAGTTAAAGCATCCATGTCCTTACCTGTTTCAGTTGTCAGCTCTACGTTTTCCTTCTCCCATTCTTCCCTTTTCTCTTTTTCGTGATTATCAACATCATGATTTTTTTCAGTAAATGAAATGTCTTTCCCTGCTTCCCAGCACACTACAGATTCATCTCTTAGGCACCCGGTACCCACAGAAGTTGATGCACTAAAATTTACAATATTTACATTGTCATTATTACTTACATTTCTTGAAATTTCTGTTGTTGAATTGTCACTTATAATATCACTATTATCACTTCCAGTTTTCAAATATTTTTCTAAGGCACCGCTTTGTTGTTGCTGTTCTTCAAGCCTAGCTTTCCTCTTTTGTTTATATTGATAACCTGACAGTCTTTTAGTTTTTCTGGCAGACATTTTTAAGGGTCGAAAATGAAAACCTAAATAGTAGTATACAAAACTGCACTGAATCTACGCACGTTTTTGGTAAAAAGTATGTAAGTGTCAATGTAACAAAACGGTAACACTTTTTAAAGTACAAAGTACAAAAAGTCAGTATATTCATTAAAATATAACATCTTCACATCGCACACGCAAAATCGGCAAAACTAGGGTGGCAAATCGTGGTATTGGATTTTATTTTGAACGAAAAAACTTTCTATGAACTTTAGAATTTTAAAGAATAAACCCCCAAAATTTATTTTAATCAAAAAAAGTTAACATATAGTTATCGATAACAAGATATGTGAGGCAGGTTATCAGATAGTGGTACTTTTTTTACTTCAGCTTCACGTCGACGTTTCATTGAGCTGACAAGAGTTTTAAGCTCTTTTTTTGTTATTACATGATGCCAGGAAACAATTGTAGCCTCAATTAGTTCCCTTTTATTTGATGAGCGCCTCATTCGGACAAGAGTTTTCAAACGGTGCCACAAATTTTCGATAGGATTGAGGTCAGGACTGTTTCCTGGCCATGACAACAATTTCATGCTCTTTGTACGAAACCACTCTTTCGATATTTTGGCCGTGTGGCAAGGAGAAGAATCCTGCTGAAAAATAAACGAAGCATTGTTGGGAAAGAGATCTCTGATGGAAGGTAGAAGTTTTGGTTCTAGAATAGTGTCAATGTATTTTCTGGCATTCAGTGTCCCATCGATAGCATGAAGGCGACCAATACCATCTGCTGACATGCATGACCAAATCATAACACTAACTGGGTTCTTCACAGTTGCTTGAATGCAGTCAGGATGTAGCTCTTCTCCTATTTTACGTCTTACATATTTTCGCCCATCACAACCGAATAACGATATCTTAGTTTCATCACTCCATATAACTTGTGACCACTGATCATCTGTCCAATTAATGTGTTTCTTTGACCACTGTAGTCTTTTTTTTTCGTTGCTGAAAATTAAGATAAGGCTTTTTTCGTGGAATTCTACCTCTCAGTCCAACATCTGTTAATCTTCTCCTGATTGATCTTGAACTGACAGAAACACCAGCATCATTCAGGTCACTTCTGATGGCTGCTGATATTTTTCTATCTTGGAGACATAGTCTTTTTATTCTTCTGTCATCAATAAATGTGGTGCACCTTTTTCGGCCTTTTCCTTCTTTGTTTTTTATTGAATTTGTCTCTTGATATCGTAAACAAACTTTCGGACTCCAGATGTAGTCACTGAACCACCCACCTGTCTTGCAATTTCAGCATCGGAAAGACCACTTTCTCGTAACACAATAATATAACATCTATTTCTAGGTGTCCAATCTACTCTTTTATTTGATGTCATTGCTTCTTGACTAAATATTAAAAATGTTTACAAAAATTCCTACTTGTAATTTCAATGTATAAGAAACAGGTCCTCCTTCTACAGAACAAAGCAAAATAATGAATTGTTTCAAGTGTAAACATGACGTCAGCTTCTACTGGCAGTTACTAACATTTGATTGGTTCTCAGAACAAGAACAGTGATTGGCCAGGAAAGCTAGACATTACAAACCACTTCATAACTGTGTTTTTTTATTTATATTAAAGTACATATAACTTTTTTCTATTGCAAATAATTGAATTTTGTGTTTTGTATTGAATCCAGTAATAAATTCTCTTTAAAATGATATATACAATTTTGCATTTTGCGAAACGTAACATTTTCTATAACCATACAAAGCTCAGACTTGCAGTGGTCCATTCTTCGCATCTACTACAAATTTGCAACGCAACTGTAAGAAAATTAAGGCGCAGCTAAATATATCTGCGCATGCGCTTGGTGATGTCTCCATTTCGTCTGTCGAGTCTCTAGGAAAGGGGGGGGGAGAACGCCCTCCTCGTATAGGGGGAATTTCATCTGTTTGCCACAGCAAGTATTAATCAACAATTGGTTATTTTCGCGAACTAATAACCCCAATTATTAGTTTGGTCCGCTGTAATATTTTTCAATCATCAATTCGTTGCTGCATCGGCGGATATTCCATAATCCAATAAAGAACAAAATTTGACGACTCAAGTGTTTATTTCCTTATGTTGTTACAATACTGTAATACAATACAAATTTGCGAAGAAATACGTTCAGCTTATTTTCGTTATTAAAGCTTGATGAGTTTATATTATGCAAGATTTATTTTCAATAAAACTCGGTGAATATGATTTTGTGCTTAAAGATCGGCGGTCCGCGGCAGCCTCTCTTAATCGGCCGCCTGTGTAATTTGGACACACAGCACACATGGTAGCGGCGGCCCTGGCCAAAGGCTACACAGATCAATTTAACGCGAAGTTGGATCAAAACGCAACTGGCGTGGATATCACGTATCTATATATATACGTATATCGTATATGCACAATTCAAATGCAAATCTTACAATCCAAAACCCTAACCGTAAATACAATTGATACGATTTCAGAAAAATTTGGTTATAATATTATTTTACACAGGATACTATTTACTTATGATACCTGTTGTTACTAACACATACCCTCGTCATTAAAATAAAAAGATTTCTTTCACTCATCCAAGATACAGAGCAATCCAGAAAACAAAAGACAAAACTTACTTACTTACCTGGGTAGTGTGATAATGAATCGAAACCAATGCATGGGAAATAAAAACTCGAAGAAGTTGATTCATCTAATTACACTGGTGTGCAAAAGTTAAGGACGAAGTCGAAATATTAGCATATTATCTGAACGAAGAGGCAGAGCGGACAGAAAGACCAATCAGGAGATTAAGTAAGGTGATGTACGGTAGCACATGCGCAGAAATGCAGGTAGACGTAATGGGGGAGTGTCTGAGTAGTATAAAGCATGTTGTCGGTGTAAGATCAGTATTTCTGGCAAAGAGATTGCACGCCGTATAGCAGTTAAAATCACACCGAGTTGCTGCCTCAGCAAGAAATGGCGAATAATCAATCTATTAGACGACATCTGGATGCTTTTATCCGAGGTCGAATCATTGGGAAGTTGGAAGAAGGCCGCGTGTGACAAGTGTGGCTGCAGAGTTCGGAATTGCTCACAGCATCGTTTCACGACTTTGGAGACAATTTCAAACTACAGGAACAGCTGTCCGGGGGTTTAGTAGTGGTCGTCCACGAGGAACCACACCCGCAGATGACCGGTATATTGCCTTACAGGCCAGAAGAAACAGGCGGCAGACAGCGGGAGAAATCGCTAGACACACGACACAGGCGACTGGACGACCGATATCGCGTTTTACCGTGGCTAGAAGACTGCACGGTGGTGGTATGTTTGCACGACGCCCTGTACGGTGTGTACCTCTAACGCCTGCCCATCCGAGAAGGCATTCTCTGTGGTGCCGGGAACACCGGAATTGGAGAGACAATGAATGGGGACGAGTACTCTTTACAGATGAGAGCAGATTCAGTCTGAGTAGCGATTCTCATCGCATACTCATCTGGAGAGAGCGGGGAAGCCGCAAACATCCCTCGAACATCATTGAAAGGGACAGGTATGGAGGTGGCGGTGTTCTCGTTTGGGGAGGCATCATGCTTGGTAGGCGTACAGACGTTCACATCTTCGACGCAGGTTCAGTCAACGGGACCCGTTATTGTAACGAGATTCTTCTTCCATATGTGCGTCTTTTTAGAGGCGCTATGGGTCCGCAGTTCCTTTTCACGGACGACAATGCACCATGTCATCGCACAGTAGCTGCCGAACAGCTCTTAGAGAGTGAGAATATTGAACGTATGGATTGGCCAGCATGATCTCCGGATCTCAATCCCATCGAGCATGTATGGGATTTTCTAGGCAGACGCTTGGCAGCTCGTACCTTACCACCAGTAACGATTCCGGAGCTTCGATTGGCGCTGCAAGACGAATGGGCAGCAATGCCTCAACAACTCATTGACACCCTCATTCTCAGCATGGGCAGACGCTGTGAAACCTGCCTAGTAGTCAGGGGAGATCATATCCCCTATTAAAGACCGGATGTTTCTTGCTGGACACCCATCACAGGGATGTTTCGGCCTTCAGTCGCATTGCGCTCCATGCTACTTTTTCAATAAAGCTTCTTTTTATCCCTCTGATTTCTCTTTTAGTAAGTGTTGCTTACATTACTCATGTCCTTACGTATTGGGGATCTTACGGTATTAAATGTGTTGATTTGGAAAGCTTTTGTACAAAGTTATATTGAAAAAACCGTCTCGTCCTTAATTTTTGCACACCAGTGTATATTGAAATGGTCCATCAGCTGACTCCGGATACAGAAAAGCAAGGCTTTTTTTTTTTTTTTTTTTTTGTGGAAGAGAGATTTCAATTGATTTCAATGTTCCTCCTCCTGACGAAGTGGCATTGAGGTTGATTGAATTCCTCTTCAATTATGTTCTTTTTTCTTTAAATTTCGTTGAGTTTTTAATTGGGGTATTGCTTGTTTGATGAGTTTTGGTTTTAACATTTATTTAATTCTTTATTGCATTTATAGGGTTATTTGAAATTTATTACTTATGAATTTCAATTATTGGTCTTTGTGAAAAATAAATTGGTTCTAAATTCCTTACTTTCCTTTGCTGATAATTTTTCAGCAGCTTAATTTGCGAAAATTCTGAACATGATTATATTTTGCTTTTTTAAAAAATTGTTTTGTAATTATGAAATATATATTATATATGCACCGTAAGCATCATAAACACATACATATGTGTGAGCACGCTTCTTGTTTGCTTGTGTGTTAAGTAATATTTGAAAAATCGGTATAAAACCAGAGACTAGTAAAATATTCCCAAAATATTCATAAACGGTAATATATAATTAATAATTCGACGCATCTCAGCAAAACAGCAAACTACCCCCCTCCAAAAAAAATAAAACATTGCATTTTCCCGCTCATGTACAGAAGCATCGAGGGGGGTAAGCTTATTATGGTAAAGAGATATATTCTGTACCAGGTGAAATTCATGTGGCTTTAAATAAAGGTTTGCCAACATTTTCCATTATTTTTCTCAAGAATAAAATGCACCCATCCATCTGCCTTTCAAACTAAACTGGTTTTATTAAATTAATGTTGAATTTTTCGTTAATGATAGATCCTTTTAGATATTTTTTACCTAATTTTATTTGTCGCTTCACAAACATAAAATTAAGCTATAATAATCCATTGCATTAAAATATTATACCTATTAAATACAGTTTCAACAAATAACTTACAATCAATATAAAATTGTTTTTAAATGCTAGTAATATAAAATATCATAATTTAGGCTAAATACACAAAAACAGAAGAAAATTATATAACGTTTCTCATTAGAGTTACTCTTACGCATAAATAAATTATAAAAACGCAAACTCTAGGATTAAGTATAAATCTTACAATCATGCTCTTTAAGAAGAGTTGGAGGTCTGAACTTGGCGATTAAGTAATATCTTAGAAATATTCGACTCGAAATTAATTAATACCATTCATCTGGCTTTATCATCATTATTCATCTAGCTTTCGCAACATCTGGCTTTAATTCACTTGTTGAAACGTGACCCTTTTGAAAATTCTTCGGCTAGTCATTGAAAAAGACAAGGAATTTTCAACAGTATTTTTTATATTAATTTTATTATGCTATATTAATTTTATTAGTGTTTATGTTTTATTAATTTAATTACTTTTTCCAATTTTGATGAGTATACTTCCGGTTAGAAGGCTGACCCATTTCTTGATTTAACTATTATCTCTTGCTTGTATACATATACATAATGAAATCATCTGGTATAATCTGTTTCTAGATATTCAGATACATTATTTGGCGGGTTAAAAACCAAACTGCACTATTTACAAACGCTTATAATAAAGGCTCAAAAATATTCTTTAATTTTAGAAATCTTTAATGTATATATTAGGAGTTCCTAAATTTTGCATGACCATGTACTGTAAACATATTTTATTTTTTAATTCGAGTTTTCCCTTAATCTAAATTACTTCCTCCTGTAATGAAAACAATTAATACGTTTGTCTCATGTTTAAAAACGCTCAAAAATCTATGATCGCACTCCTACGTCCAATCTTTTACACCACTTAAAGAACTCACAGTCATTTCTTTTTTCTGCATTTTTTACAAATCCATCTGCAATACAACATAATTATAGTTTCCTTGATTTAGTAACAGTTTGGCTCTAATTAGCCCAAAGGAGCGTTCGCCTAGAAGGGCTAGTAGCCTCGAAACGGCATTTTGCGTCGAATCACTAAAAGCCTTGAATCATTTTTCAAATTGTTGCTACCAAATCTTATCGTTATGTATTATTTTTAAAGAAATTAAATAATGAAGAATCTGCATGGAGGGATGTGCGTTTCTGGCATTGTGAAAAACCGACAATATTTACAGCCATTAAATTTTAAATAGAGTAGTTCTCCACCCGAACAGGGGCAGCTGGAATCCCTTCTGACTGCTAGTTTGTTTGTAAATTGTATTCCCTTGATTAATTTTATTTTTATTTAGTGTATTAAATTCGTATTTGCCTTTTTAATAGTATTTATTTTTTTTTCCATTTATTATTTGAAACGTATTTTATGCAGATTCTTCGTTAAGTTTCCTAGACGTGGCAGGTGTTGTTAACTTTAAGAAATTTTCCAAACATGTGATTTTTCCTTATTATTTACATTCCACCTCGTTGTAGCACTATCTATTGCAGCCGATTGCTGATGCGTTCGATCTTTCGAAATCCGGATATTTGTTTCGCCCATTTACCTTCCTCCGATGTTCCTTTTGAGAACTGTAAAGACTCATTGATGCTAGGTGCCCCTGGACCTTCAGAAGGTGATTGAACCGGAAAAGTCACCATAAGCGCGTCCTGTTGGGCTCAGTTGTAGAGACATTAGGATTTTTGGAAGCAGGAGATATGAAAAATGAGCAACGCCTTCGCCGGGATTCGAACGACGGACCTCTCGAATACGCGCCGAGCGTGCTAACCACTACGCTACGAAGGCATCCTAAGAAGGCGGGAGAAATACCTTTTATAGTTACCATCAGTTATCGCCCCAATATGCGTCGATGTAATGATGACATTCTTCTTAGTAACAATATTCTTCTTAGACTGTTATGTTCTTAATGTAACCGGGTTCCTCAGGATTAAATTACACGCATAATTTTCTTCTCTCGATTTTCGAACGCTAAAATTAGTTAAAAAATGCAAAAATATGCGAAGAAATACTGTATCTCGAATTATGTATCTTTAACTAAGTGGGGCAATTTATCATTAATTGAAACGATTTCTCCTCTATCGGTGAAACTTCGCAAAGTTATGCAAAAATGTTGCTTAATTTGTACGGATATGTAACAATGTAGCAGAAAATACAAGCTCAGTTTTCTTTATAGCATATTCACATTTTCCAATAAAGTTTCCTTTATACAGAACAAGAAATGAATTCATATTCATGTGGTTTTAAGAGGCAAGTATTTAAAAAAAGCATAATTTATATAAAATTTTGTATAGCAAGCGCATTCTCTTAGAAGTATAATGACGTCACGAATATTATTCTGGTATCCTCTTTTCCTACATTCATGTAGAAAATTAGCGACGAGGTTCAATCATTCATCGCAGTAATAATATTGCTAAAAATCATCTCATTTTAATAATCCAGTTAACATTATTCATATTAATTTAATTATTATAGACATTAGGAAGCCATTATTATTTTTCGTTCATGCGTCGAATTGGGAAAAAAGATGCAATTAGAAAATATTTTACCTTTCTTAGAAGATAGTTTGGAGTAACGCATTATACAGTAAATAGAATTTTGCATCAAAGAGAGTATTACTTCGATACTCGTGCTTGCTATGAAAATATATAATTTGTTATTTAGGTTCAAATCATCATTTCTTACACTGCATAGCACGTTTTCTTTCCAACTACATTCACTTTCAAATTATGCAAAAATCAACAGTCATTCATAGTTAATCAAGAGTAAACTGCCAGACTGCGGTGATTAAAAAAAGAACAAATATATGTATTCTAAAATGCATTTATTCATAAGGAAACTAAAAATTCGAGCTTTATGATCGCTCCAATACTCATTTACAAACTATTGTGTACTTGGTCTATTTTCCCAAGAACCAACCTCCGACAATATCGAGCCACACACCTAGGTTGTATTCACGGCATTTGGAAATATATCCTCTCCCGGCACAGTATCTACATGTTGGACGCAGTGTGTCAAAGACATTACATCGAGTTCTTATACCACAGCAGTTTGGCGCACTCCAGAATGCGCATTCTCCTCCAATTGGTATGCATTTGTCATCCCTATTGGATAAAGCAAAATTCGTAAATATATGATTGGTTGTATAATGAAAAACATCATAATTTTCAAATTATGGAAAGCGTTTCCGAATGTAATAGTTTAAAGTGGTTGGAAACGACACCAAATTGGATTGAGATAAGTAAATAATTTAAATAGAAATATAAATATATTGCTGTACGTAAATATGCAAATGTTCATCTTCTTAAGAGCTGCAACAAATAGTTGTTTGTGTAGCTCAGACCGAATGAAAGTATATCATCTAAATGAAAAAATGTAACAAAACTTTGCGAAATTGTAAAATTTTTGAACAAAATTGAAATTTTTGAGTTTCGAATTTTTCTAGCCAAATTTGTTTTATACAGTATACTGAATTGTAAAACTTCAAAAAGAAAGAAATCTTAGCTGAATTATTCGTTAAAGAAACTGGCTTTTTGATTAAATTTTCAAATTTTGAGTTTCGAATTTCTTTTCTAGCCAAATCTTGTTTTATTTTAGGTAACAGTATACTGGACTATTTGTAAAACTTCAAAAAGAAAGAAATGTCTTAGCTGAATTATTCGTTAAAGAAACTGGCTCGTATTTGCATTAAATTTCAAATTTTGAGTTTCGAATTTCTTTCTAGCCAAATCTTGTTTTATTTTAGGTACAGTATACTGGGACTATTTGTAAAACTTCAAAAAGAAAGAAATGTCTTAGCTGAATTATTCGTTAAAGAAACTGGCTCGTATTGCATTAAATTTCAAATTTTGAGTTTCGAATTTCTTTTTCTAGCCAAATCTTGTTTTTATTTTAGGTACAGTATACTGGGACTATTTGTAAAACTTCAAAAAGAAAGAAATGTCTTAGCTGAATTATTCGTTAAAGAAACTGGCTCGTATTTGCATTAAATTTCAAATTTTGAGTTTCGAATTTCTTTTCCAGCCAAATCTTGTTTTATTTTAGGTACAGTATACTGGGACTATTTGTAAAACTTCAAAAAGAAAGAAATGTCTTAGCTGAATTATTCGTTAAAGAAACTGGCTCGTATTTGCATTAAATTTCAAATTTTGAGTTTCGAATTTCTTTTCTAGCCAAATCTTGTTTTATTTTAGGTACAGTATACTGGGACTATTTGTAAAACTTCAAAAAGAAAGAAATGTCTTAGCTGAATTATTCGTTAAAGAAACTGGCTCGTATTTGCATTAAATTTCAAATTTTGAGTTTCGAATTTCTTTTCTAGCCAAATCTTGTTTTTTATTTTAGGTACAGTATACTGGGACTATTTGTAAAACTTCAAAAGAAAGAAATGTCTTAGCTGAATTATTCGTTAAAGAAACTGGCTCGTATTTGCATTAAATTTCAAATTTTGAGTTTCGAATTTCTTTTCTAGCCAAATCTTGTTTTATTTTAGGTACAGTATACTGGGACTATTTGTAAAACTTCAAAAAGAAAGAAATGTCTTAGCTGAATTATTCGTTAAAGAAACTGGCTCGTATTTGCATTAAATTTCAAATTTTGAGTTTCGAATTTCTTTTCTAGCCAAATCTTGTTTTATTTTAGGTACAGTATACTGGGACTATTTGTAAAACTTCAAAAAGAAAGAAATGTCTTAGCTGAATTATTCGTTAAAGAAACTGGCTCGTATTTGCATTAAATTTCAAATTTTGAGTTTCGAATTTCTTTCTAGCCAAATCTTGTTTTATTTTAGGTACAGTATACTGGGACTATTTGTAAAACTTCAAAAAAGAAAGAAATGTCTTAGCTGAATTATCGTTAAAGAAACTGGCTCGTATTTGCATTAAATTTTCAAATTTTGAGTTTTCGAATTTCTTTTCTAGCCAAATCTTGTTTTTATTTTAGTACAGTACTGGGACTATTTGTAAAACTTCAAAAAGAAAGAAATGTCTTAGCTGAATTATTCGTTAAAGAAACTGGCTCGTATTTGCATTAAACAAGGTCAAAAACCTAAAATACAACTGTATGAAACTGAAAGCATGCGAATATGGTTGCTTTGCCTCTGTATAATACTTGTTGAACTCAAACAACATACTGTTAGTCTCATTCTGTGTTTTCAAAAACTGAAATAACATACACCAGGCATGACAAACTTTTATTCGTATGAAAATAGCTTTCAGGTGCGTGCAGGCGCCACGAGTCGCTGAGTGCTTTATTTTGACAATATTGAACAATACATGTTGGAATATAAATACAACAGTTTCAAAATAGCAGGTAATAAATACTTCAAATTTTGGTTTTTGTGTTGGTATATTCGTAAATTGAACAGAACTCAGAAAAAATGTAGGATTACAAGAAACAAAATTAAAAATGTAAATTTGAATGCATTTTTAATGAAGGATTTGTTGTGATCTGTACGAGTGCGAGTGCAAAGCAACAAACTCACGAAAATAAATTTTTAATGATACAATTTTTACTTTGTATTTTCAGCAAGTATTGATCAGAAGTATGAAACCACAAAGGAGTCAAGAATATTCAATCACTTATAGCAACGTTTGTAAACATTGCTTTGGACCATGGAAAAGGTAACTTACGAACTGCAGTTGTCCAAGGGTTAATAAAAGCCCAACTTTCATATACATAAGTACGTCCAATAAAACATTAAATAAACTGAAGGAACAATATATTTTTGACTTTGATACAGATTTAAATAAACATTTTTAATGAAGTCCAATATTTAAATAAGTTTCCATTGCGTAGAAAAACTGTAATGTCAAATGTTGTTTTCGAATGCAGAGCAAAATTTACAAAATCGCAGATTTAAGATAAGGTTTAATAATATGCTTTTTGCCATAAAAACAATGAAACCTTTCTGTCAGAATTTGAGAGAACCTCTGTAGATTTTATTCAAAAGCAAAGTTTTGCGAGGTAGTCTTTCATATCCTAGATTAACATTTACAGTATCTTAATCCTTGAACTTCCTTTCAAAACTAATTTGTATGGCCTCGTAAAATACTGAAAAACAATTTATTTTTATAATTTGACTTTTTACTTGTAGCTTCCTCTAATATTTTGCCACACCAATGGTCGACTGCATAAAAGCTGCTAAATACTGCTATTTCCTCCTATATCCGGATCTCGGTAAACAGGTTGAGTGGAAAATTTTCGCGGGCCATCACGACCGAGTGATGAAAATCGATGATAAGTAATAGTTCCGATCTAAGTTCGATTCTAGGCAAACGGGTTGGCTGCATGGGCGTTTTCGTGGTTTGTATGTGTAAGGGGTATACGAGCTAGTTTCACTCAGAATATCCTCCACAAAGGGGCTTCCCGTCTCTTAGGCAGCTAGCTCTAGTGTACTTCTCCATAATTAACTAAACCTAAGAATTTTCGCGACTTTTTTTTTCATGCAATATGCATACCAGCCCATTTGCATTAAATGTTTATTCACGAAAGTATATATTTTAAAGTAAAGAGTTCTAGCTTGTTTTTCCGTATTCACATAACTTGATATATTAAATAAATAGAAATTCTCAGGATTAGGATTTTTGACAAAAGTCTTTGCTCAAAAGTAGCCAAATATAGAACGTACAAATACTTTTTTTATTTCCTTTTACTTAAAAGAAATGTCCATTGCTAATATAAAAAAAAGCTAAATTTTAAACCTTTAAGTAAAATTTTGAAATATATGGAACATAGAGAAACATGTGATGTACAAAAGTAAAATGACCTATTATCATATCATTTTATCTTTACTGTTAGTTATATTTTCGTCATCTCCCGTCAGGATATAAATGAGTTAACTCGTATATAAGAACGAAGTTCTTCAGACAAAGAGCTGTTGGCAGGGACTCTGAGCTAATAGCTAATCTCGCCCAGCTCATTAGAATTATTTAGTTCGGCTTCAGCCTTTTGCTTACGATTCTAAAATACTTGCGGTTTTTTTTTTTTTTTTTTTTTTTTTAAAGATAAAGTTTGCTAGAATTTTGCTTTGTAAATTTATACATTAAATACTAAAGCTTTGCATAAATAGTTTTCTGTCAGTTTAGATACCGTAAGTAGCGGAGACTGATTGTAAGCCCGAGTTGCGCTGTTCAGTTTGAACTAAAAAGTTAATTTAAAGCTTGTGTACAGTTGCTTTACAATGACGGAGTCATAACTCGTCTCACAGCCTCACATGGAACCAGTTAATTAGTCTGTCAGCGGTTTTGGCCTCAACAATGGTCGAGTGGTTATGCCCACTGAACATTGGGATCTTGACTCAGAATCAATTCCACCTAAGCTAACTGGTTGCTTGGTTACTTTCTGCTATTTTCTACATGGTTAGTGTGAATGAAAGGCTTTACCTAAAAAGGTTCTCCAAGAAGTTATCCATCCCTTTAGGCAGAAAACCATTTTGTGCTTCTTCATAAACATATAACCTAAACTAAGTCAGTAGTTCTCTATGTATAATTTCATTATTACTATAAAATTCCATTTTGATGTTGGTGTTATAGATCTCTGTGCAAGTATGTCTAATGAGAGACGCTTGGGTACAAAATGTGAGACGTTAGGATCGTGTTTTTAGCCCAAATGAGCGTTGGTCGACAAGGGCTATTAATTTCGAAACATCATTTTGCGTCGAATCACTATAAAATGCTGTATTACTTTTCAAATTGTTGCCACAAAATAGTATTGCCCTGTATTATATTTCAGGAAACTAAATAATGAAGAATCTATTTGAATGTTTGTTGTATTGTAAAAACACAACGGTACCTGAGTTATCAAATTTTGAATAACATAGTTCTCCACCCGAACATAGACACCTGGAAGCCCGAATCTGAAATGTATTTTATTATCTCTTTTATATTTTTGTCAAGCTTCAACGAAGTTCAAAAACAAAAACTCACAAACTTCAAAGCGAACAGTGGCAACACTGTAGGAAGTAAAACATTTTTATCTCCATCGCGCGACACTGTCTATCAGAATTCTAAAGATATGCTGTTTTTAACTACATTAAATTATGTATTCGAAATCTCGTATTAGCCCAAATGTTCTCGAAACATGTATGTGTCTATAAATGAAAAAA